CATTCAGTATATATATATTTACATTCAGTACTGTAGTCAAATTAAAATATATATATTATATTACGTACTGCAGTCTAATAGACATTTTGTATTGTGTGGGCGACAATTTGCGCAATATACCGTCAGATTCGCGGAACCTGTCCGGACATCATACGATCTGATGTATCAAGTGTGCGTCATCAATCGTAATTGTTATTGGATATTCCCTGTATTGATTATACAACTATCGATGAGCGGCTGAAATAAATCACACACCAATTTTTTTTTACACGAACGATTTGTCATTTTCCCTTTCTATGATTATCTCAACGCTTAGAAAAACAAAATACGTATGTGACGTTAATGTCGTACCATATGAATTAGATTTGGTTGGATTTTTTTTCCCCGACAATGAGACCAGAAGTGTCATTGAACTTTTAACCTATACAAAACGCGCCAAATTTATGACGTCATTGCGTGACAATGTACCATATTTTAAAAATGAAAATTCAAAATATCGTAATTATTTCGAACTTTTAAGATATATATTAACACCATTTGCCAATAGTATCCACAAGTCTGGTCTTAATCTGAGAATAATCTCCGTTTTTGATGTTATTCTGAATATTTCTATCCTTAAAATAGTAACTTAAGTGTGTAGGCCTACTTGAGTTGAGGTTTCAGCAGGGATTAGAACACTCAATCCAATCTATCCAATCGCTCAAATCCAACTGCGTGCTCACACGAACTTTTGTCTGAAATTGTCTGAACTTGCTCTCATAATAATGAACATTGATTCACTCATGGTATTGCATCATCCATCACCGGCTCACAACAAAAGTGGAAAACAAACCAAAGACTACGGTACAACAAAACCAGCAAGTAGTACTAGGAATACATACATACAAGACTAGCACTTTCAAGGCGTGGTCAGGCATTGTTTTTTTTTAGACAATTCTTTTAATTTTGAATTAAAATATTAGGTAGTTCTCTGAAAGAAAGTCTATACGTGATTCACTTCAAAAGAAAATTGCTTATAGGGCCAACTTAAATGCTTATAAGTTAAAGTATCAGTTTGTGCATTAATTTTTTTTTCTTCATATTTTTGTATAAATATTTATATATTTTTTCTTCTTTTCCATTTTCTTTAAGCAGAAGATATTAATTTTAAAGTTCTTACCAAAAGCCTCACTATAACTGTTTCCCCCTATTTTTTTTTCAGGTGCTATATATTTTTGTATCAAGTGCACATAAAAAGCAGTGATTTACAAAATGGCTCCCACACTGGAAACGGCCCAACGAAGGCGAATGTGGCTGTTAGTTACTATGGTATTTGAGAACTTATTTTTTTCGGCAGTTCTTTTGGGATGGAGTTCTCTTTTAATGGTTCTAAAGCAGGAAAGATTTTACTATTACCTTTGTGAAACAGGTGAGTTGAAGTTCTTTATGTTCTGATGTTTTGGCCAAATTAGACTTTGTTTATTTTGTCTATTGATGATCAGATCCTGTAGCTTTATCACTGTTAATGGTCAAAGGGGCAGTGGTCAAAGGAGCAATGGTCAAATCAGTGGCGTATCTAGGGGTGCGCGGGGATGCTCATTCCCCCAAAAAATTACTCGCGTCCCTCAGAAATCATGGTCAAGTAGTTAAAAATCACCTTATTTTGCGAATTAACGCCCCTTAACTGATCATTGAGCCCCCCCACTTTCGCGCCCCTGCATCAGCACCCTTATTTTAATAATTCTAGATACCCCACTGGGTCAAAGGAGCAATGGTCAAAAGGCCCAGCAATGGTCAATATGGCAATGGTCAATGTGGCAATGGTCAATGGGACAACGGTCAAAAGGGCAGTGGTCAAAGGGGTGATGGTTAAAGGTGCAATGGTCAATGTGGCAATGGTCTAATGGGTAATGGTCAATGGTCAATGTGGCAATGGTCTAATGGGTAATGGTCAATGTGGCAATAGTCAAAGGGGAAGTGGTCAATACGACAATGTCAAAGGGGAATGGTTGGTGAAAGGGGAAATGGTCAATGTAACAATGGCCAAAGTTGTGAAAATCAAAGGTACGGTGGTCAAAGGGCCAATGATCAATTTGGCAATGGTCAAGGGGGAAATGGTTGAAGGTAAATGGTCAATGTAGCACAAGATAAATGCATCTTTCAGACATCTTGCTCCCAATCAATAAAGTTGGTTACCATGCAAATATTCTCTTTCTGATAGAATACTATGGCAAAGTCAGGCCTGTTTTGCCGGTAAGGGGGAAGGAGTGGCAACTTATGGTTCGAGGGGATGACTTAAGAGTATTCCCTATGGGGTCCATGGCACTGTGTTCCTGGAAATTCATGAGTTTTTGCCATTTTAATCTTTTATCCAAATGATTTCACACTTGGTAGCTAGAAGATTATTTTTGCTGCTGCTGGGGAGGGGATTCGCCACTTTGGCATCATACCATTAGTAATTAGTCTTTCATACTTAAGAATAACTCTGTAAATGGTAGTTACTCCTGTACTCCTGTATATTACGTCCAGCTTTAGTTCTGCCACCGGCAGAATGAACGATGGGATGTGACTCTGTTGAATTTCGTAGCAATTAATTTTGTATATTTACATTATTCATCAGCATATCTACTTATTCACTATTTGGCACTTTCCTGAGATATAGAATATCACAGTATTTTCCATATGACTGATCTGTTAGGTCCTATGATGTTGATGCAAAAATATTCAACACTTTACGGTGTGAATTTATTATCAGGTGGTAATATGCTGATTTGGGAAATTGACACAAACACCGGCTTGTTTTTTGGTTGAACGTGAATGACGTCATTAGTAAAAACACTTGACGATCAATGATTAACCAAATTGTCGCCATTTTTCTAGCAGATAGGTTAAGGGGGCAGTCCAATGACGTCTCCAAAAGTTTGATGACAGGGGTATAACCAATCTGACAGGTGTATAACCAAATGCCAGCTTCAGGTTTGTGGTCCTGTTGTAAAACCCAAGGTGGAAGGGGGTAGGGGGTGGCGCTGGGCGAAGTGTAGAGATTTGGCTTAGGATGATAAAAATTGTGCTTTGAAGGTAAGAATAATATAAACTGCGCTCAAAAAAACTTTATTTGGATTGGCAAATTAATGTTTTTAGTCCAACCATGGTGGAAACTAATTCCTTCATGGTCCACAACCTCACATGGCATACAGGGTGTATAAATGCTTGTCCAAATGGGAGACACTTTTCCCTTGAATACTGTACCTGCTTGCAATGCCAAAGTTATGGCAAATGTATGGCAATATTAAATTATTTATATTAGGTACAATTTTAATAATTAGAACACACATTCAGTATCTTTAAATAAGTTTAAAGTCTATTATTAAGAAATATTCTGCTTTTGAAATTAAAATAAAATGCTTCAAGTAAGCAGTTCTTGAAAATAGAGAAACAATAATTATTTATCAGAGATGCATTTAAAAACACAAGGGCAAAAACAGTACTTAAAAACAGCATAGACAAAGAAATATGTATCTCCCACAACCAGCATTAATATAGTTTGAAATTTTATTATTATTTTATTATCAGTAATAAGATCGAGGTTATTGCTCTCTCAGAAAATTATTCTTGAAAACATAAACATAAACACAAAAACATAATATCACTTTATATCATCTGTATTCTTTCCCTTCTATATTTACTTACATCATTATTATTTTATACTTGTACTGTACATAATTATTTGAATTTTTTTTAATTTGTAGTGCGATGCTTGTCCCTATACAGATAGTCCCTTAAACAACAATAAATCATAAAAGATAAAACAATGAATTATAATTTAGTACAATTCAATATTATTCTTTATTGCTACATTGGCATTCAAAGGCTTGTTATCTAAAAGCCCAGTGACAGATCCAGGAATTTGAAATGGGTGGGGGGCACAGAGAGGGACATTCACAGTTGAAGGTTCTGTACTACCTCAGTCCAACCGTTGGGCTGAGGTAGTGAAAATTTATGATTATGGCACCTCTCTGGAAATGCCACTCTTAGACTCAAAAGTTGAGTAAAATTTTCTTTTTTTCTAATTTTTAAATTTTTTTTATTTTGAAAAGTTTAGGGGGGCCCAGGCCAGCTGGGACCCCCTTGAATCCGCCACTGAAACCATTCATATTTAATTAACATGGATTTACGGTAATCATTAATCAACTTGGTAACAAAAGGTATGATACCAATATTCACTTACACAAAACAATCTAAAATAATCACAGATAATGCATGTTTGATCTGGGATTACTAGATGTCAGGTCAAGTATGAATCTGATAGCAGAGAAGGGAAAAAGAAAAAAAGTAGGACAAAATTCAAGACATTTAACCCTGAAAGGTTATCAAATTTCTAAGGCCAATCAATATTTGATAGTCTACAAATAATAATAATATGCTTTCAGAGATTTATTTATTTTAATAACTTATCAAAATTGTCAATAATTTATCAATTAAAAAGTACATGTTGTTTCTCTGTTTAGTTTCTGGCTTTAGAAAATAAATTTCTGACATAAATACTCAACACCCTAGTAGGCCTCATTTTAAAACTGTATCTTAACAAATGAGAGAAGTAAATATTGATAACTGGATTGTAAAAACCAAAGTCTGAACTATTAATGAAAGGGTTATCTATTCAAATTGTTTCCTTGACAGTATAACTAGGGTGATAAAAGTTATCTTGAAATATTCTATACGGTAGATTACACTTTCAAAAGGACATCAATCAGTATACACTAAATTTAGGCTATGTAACCAATGGTAAATTCCACTATATAACAATATTTAACAACAAATTTTGATGTAAGACAAATCCATGTAACAAGTTCAACAAACGATTTAGTCTTATAATATATTTAGTTTTATAATATACTTTCAAGGTTATTGCTAGCTTTGTGCAAAGGATTAAATATCTGCTAGAACTAAATCACCTAAAAATTACTTAAAAATTATTTGTGAGTGGGTGTGAATTTTGAATTTTGTATTAAATATTATTTTGAATTGAATAACAAACCAAAAAATAAATTGTCAATATTATATGACATACCAGAATATTAAACTGATAAAATAACCAAAGTATAAATTTTATGATACACAATTTTTCTGCATTACAACATCTGAAGAATATATCATATTTTGCTGCTTGGCCTAATACTTGTTAGATCATCAATTCAGTCCAATTAATATATATGTCCAGATGATAAAGTAAATATACAGAGAAAATGAAATTACACAAATCAATCTGGTTGATGGCATTAAAAAACTAAAAATGCTGAATGTTTGGAGGAAAAAAGCCGAGAAAATATGTCTGCTTAAACCGTTTAAAACATCTCCTAATGTTGCTGACTGAACAACCTGACAACAAAGGACATGAGGCCTGTATCACAAATTTGAAATAATGCCACAATTTCATTTTTTTTTGTATTCAGCAAGGCAATAAACATAATCGAAACTGGTCATCGAAACAATTTTAATTAAAAAAATACCTGTATAACAAAGACAATTAAACAAATCAGCTGATTGGCAATGTTTCAATCAATTTTCCCAGGTCTGCATTAGCTGGCATAAAGACACAATAAGAAATTCACGGTTAATTGTGATTTAATGTATTTGCATAATTTATGTACAGTGACAAAATAAATTAATATTGAACAAAGAATTTTGATATTGTCTCCACTACTTATTATTGGCAACAATATCATTGTGATGTCAGTGACAATAAAAAGTTGAAGAGTGCCAAATAATGTTTACAAAATGAATGTTTGCAAACAATGTTCGATATGGAAATCATTATAAGGAATGTGCAACACTTGCGTCAGGTGTGTAATTCTATTAGGTCCTTTCCTTCTTGTGCTGACAAACAGGTTGTAATTTAGAAAACGAGGCTAGGCTGAAAGTGGCCCAACTTCTACAACTGTTTCTGTTAATAATAAATCTTGTGCCTATGGCCTAGACCTTACCAGGAAACACAATGTTAAATGAGTGCATAGATGATGCCATAATTAATTTGGTGTCAATAATAATCCATGTTGAAAATATTAACATCTTTTTCCTAATATTTGATTGGTTGTTATGGTGGGCTCTGATGAGTAGAAAATTGTGGTGTTTTTTTTCCTTCCTAAGTATAGTTTTCAAGATATACTCTACAAATTTACTCTCACCTCAATGCTATTAAAATGTAAGCAAACTATGGTTCTTTTTTATGACACTTATAGCTGCCTCTGGATATATTCACATCATTTGTTTTTGAATTTTGAACATAAAATTTAAGATGTTTGGCCAAGACCTACATTCAGATCAGCTGTTTTTAAAGAGGTTAATAAAAGCTGACCTGGGAAAGTTCAGCATTGATATTGAATAACCAATTTACTCCTGCAGCATATTCTAAAAATACCATATTCATTAACAGACAATGGGATGCAGCATCCAATCCTGGAGCTCAATTCTTCCAGGGTTTTCAATATTGTCCAATGAGTGATAACAATCAATGAGACATTTTTAATAATGCCCTGAAATTTATTTGATTTATTAAATTAATTATCAATTAACCAATTTAATAAATAATTTATGAAATTTTTGGCAACATGATTAAAGCCATGTTTACCATCCAAAAGAAATGCACAGAATGATGCTGAAGTTATGCAATTCAACAGAGTTCATGAAATCCTTAATTTTAATGGGAAAAACTTGTTTGGTTTATTTAATTCGTGACCAAAATTTACATGTTTTTTAGTTTAAATTGCTTATCCAGTAGGTAATCTAGCAGCTTTAACAATAATTCTACAATGCTCCAGTACACACCTCCTTTGTAACCAATCAAATCACAGAATTTCATTTTCCAGGCAGCCAATTACTGATCAGCACTGCTGCTTACATCCTAGCAACAGCATCTCATTAAAGTTTACTAGTACTAGAGGAAAGCAGCCAATCAGAGGCAAGAAATATCACCTGAGCTTTAGAGCAAAGCTAATGAAAATTGAATGGAAATAATAGGGTGGAAAAAATTTCAAGAAATGAAAAGCTTTTTAATTTCCTCCTCAAAAATTATGAAGAATATGTTTACACAGTACTTTATGTTGTGGCCCAACAAAGGATATTATTAGAAATTCAGATATGAAATCAACTATAAAGATTTGTCACGAACGGAAAACAATAATTACAACAAAACAAGGGAACTACGTTAGCAGTAGATATTTCATTATATAGTTAATTTTCAGTTGACCAAGTTTGTTTCACAATTTGTTATGGATCAGTGGAAATGCTGAAAGTATAGCTTTATTTTTTTGTTTTATATGTCAGGATTACAACCCATGAACAATCTTCACTGATCCAAAGGCTTATGTACAGTACTTAAACAATTAGTTAACTAGTAGGATGCAATTTATTATTTGTTGGGAATGATAACCAGTCCAAAACGACCTACTCAAAGAATATAGGAACTATATTATATAATT